AAACAGCTGTAAAATATTTCATGTGCATTACAAATCAGCTAATTCATTAAGGCTTTAACGAATTGTTGTCATTGAGGGCAGCTCCAAAAGCCCAAAAATATTTGCTGGCACCTGAAATACTCGTCGAGCTTGAGGCACATTAAAGTAGAGCACACTTTGCCAAATGATAATTTGTTCTGTGGCGGCTTTTCATTGTAAACATGGCAGGACAACAATGAACCTTGTGTTATCCTCGACCTCTCTCATCCCACATCCAGCTCCCCCTTATAGTCCCTGGCCCTCTTCAACCGACAAATTCTATTACCCGCAGCAAATGTCGCAGCGCTGAAAGCCAAAAGCTGTCAGCATTTAGCGGCTGTGGCTTAGGCCAAAAAACAAATATATATATATATAAAAAAATGGGTGGGTTGGGGGATGTCGTTGGAGGGGGTGTATTACACTTAGGCTGGTGATTTTACATGTCCAGGAGGGAGCTCAGCTGCCCCAGCTTATTATTATCATTATTTCATTTTTCCTTTTCTGCCCTTGTTTACAATTTAAGCAATTTATGCACTCATTCTGCTGATTGAGAAGCTCTTTAAAAATATAAATCTTTAAATAAATTGCGGTTATATGCCATCCATCCACTCAACATTCTGTTAGCAAATGTGTCACACATTCTTTTAATTAGGCTGGCAAAAAAGGAAGTGCTGAAAGAGGAACGTGTGCCTGGCATGACTAACTAATGTCAGCCAATGCGACAATCGCTTTTCTGTTTGTCTTCTCTGAATCCATTTTTTGTCTCCCTGAAGAATTTGCCAGCTTGCCATCCTTTGGATCCGCCTCTCCAAATAGTCCTTCAGCATTTTGGCGCTAATTGGTCACATGTCTGGTTTTGTCTAGGTCGCAGTACCGAGCTACCCTCCCCCTTACTCATACCTGGCTTTATTTTATTTCATTTTGGGTTTGGGGTCAGTCGGTGCATTGATTTGATTGTCCTTTGCATTTCTGATGAGCATGGGAAAACTCGGCGCTGATGTAATTTCAGCTTACATAAGCATTGATTGCGAAACAATGACTTAAGCTAACATCGAGTTAATTAAAATAAATTGCCTATAATTTTCCATGCAGAAATTTAATGAAGTAACATAATCAATTATTACGAATTTATAAAAACTGCCAAAAAATATAATAATGAAGTAGGTCAAAGAATATATAAAAAAAAAGACCATCAATTTGATTTTCATGTTGAAATATCTATTTAATTATACAATTTTTTGTTTATATATATTATATGTTGTCAATAGAACAATTGTTTAAGGATTAATTTCTTAGTAGCCAGAACAGTGAATTAGTTTTTAGTTTTCCATATTAATAAGTTGGCTTCATTCAAAAGTTATTAATAATAAATATTAATTACTTATTTTCTATTTATTTTATATATCGTAGCGCTACAAGTTTCGAACTTACAATTGATTGTTATTTAAACAATATGAAGTTATAAATAATAATAATGCTTCAATCGAATTAATAAACAATGAGTTATTCGCAACATTAATTTAATTAAATTGTCAATATGTTGTACATTTATTCAAGAGAGCAATTGTGCGGCTTATCAAATTCAGCATTTTTACTTGCCTACTTTGAAGCGATGATAACAATTTTTTTTATAATTTAAATATGTTTTTTGCTGGCTTCAGGTGGCAAATCAACTAAATCAGAAATTAACCTAAATTAAATAATTAAATTAATAAAATACTGATTGAAATGCGTGACGCTAAATATGGATGTCAGGTCTGAGAAAAGAGCAACTGCCTCTTCAATCTAAATAAAATACGATATCGACAACTGATTTCAATTATGTGTTCTTCTAAAATGTGCAAACTTGAGTTTTTCTGCGTTGGCTCTTTGGTTGTGTTTACTAATTTGCATATATGCATATATATGTTAAGATTTTCAGTGACTTATTAACTCCGACATCAATGCCCTTTTTCGGTTCAATTTCAAGCCATATCCAAAGCATACTTTTTTGGCCCACAGCCTTCAATTTGAATATAATAAAATTTCAAAAACATCCCATAGTTTCTGTAGGACATTGATTGCTTAAGCTTATGATTGACTATAATATATTTTTAGATTGGGAATATATTTGATATTCCATAACTATGCAAGACTTTTATACTGTGATCTGTATGCATGCTCTGCAAGGAATGACTTTCTGTCAAGTTCTGATATCTGATTCAGCAATCGATTCTCCTTCTTATTTAGACTAGTAAATTCTAGTGCAATATGCTAGTCCCAGCCTTAAAAGATTTTTCCATAGCTTCAGGCAACATGTTCCTCAGTTTCCATGTTCTCTTGTGCATTGAGTAACTCACTGTTTAGCTGCATGTTTTTTTATATCCCTGGTTTCGGTAGTTTTTGCTCACTTCCCAGTAAATCCGAATAACAAGTTTCCCATTTCTTTAACCCCCCCTCCACCCTCTTGAAGAAAAAATTGTAAAAGAAATGCAAACCAAAAAGCCAGAAAGTATGCACGCAGAAATTGCTTAATTCTCGACTTTTCCATATGACTTTGGTGCCCATAAATTTGGTTTCAATGCACTACTCTGCCCTTGTCCCCGCCCTTCTCCCCAGCCCTTGCCATCTAACTGTGCCATGTCAATTGTTTGCTGTCTAGCAAGTTGTGCGTTCAGTTTCCCGACCATGCCGAGCCGGGCCGGGCCGGGTTGGGTAGGGCTAACCTTACAGATGCCACGCAGATTTGCCTGGGAATTCAATAAAGTTTGACAAAATATTATGGCGGGTAAGCCGCCATATTCCAGATACAGATGCCACGCCCATTTTTGCAGTTACTTCTGCTACTGCTACTGCTACTGCTGCTGCTGCTGCACGTACCACACAAAAGTTTTTGGCCATTTGCAGAAAAAAGCGAAAGAAAACCCTTTCGCCAGACCGAGACTCAGAAAGCCATAAAGATTTGCCTCTTAGTTTGTTGGCAAAGGCTGCAGCGCCCTCTGGCGGCCAATTGATATATGGTCGGGGTTATCTGGTCGCAAGGTATTCGAGTTTGTGGATACAATGCTGCTCCAGTTTCCAGATAACACAATTACTCGGCAGCAGGCACAAGGCTTGCCACACTATTTGCATTCGTTGTGGCAAATGGAATGGGAAAGTTTCTAATTCTCTGCATAGAAAACATTGTTTGAGCGGAGCCAAAGATTGGAGATGGGCATTGGAAGTCTACTTTTACTGTTAATTGTGGTATGTCTCTGCATATCACACCAAAATCAAGCACTAAGAGAAAAACTTATGAAAGAAGTATTCCCAAATCGAATACGTAAAATGTCCTTTATTTTATACGGATTATTTTGCGAAGCTTGTCAAAATAGGAATCGGAATTGGAACTGCATTTCGAACGATTAAAATTCAGAATCGGAATCGGAGTAAGAACCCAGATTCTAAATTTGTTTATATATTCTACATACCGAAGCAGATTATGTTTGTTTCGAAGATATGGTATCTGAATATCATTATAGTCTATCCCGTTGTTTAAGTGTATGTATTTGCACGTGGCTTTGTTCAAGTTGATATAAACGAATTTATATTCAAAATTTGAAGTTTGTAGCTGCAATAGTTTCTAAGATCCCCAACTTCATATCAAATTAAAACTATTTGAGGGTTAGCGAAGGTGCACATAGATAACTCAGCTGACAGGTAATTAATTTAAGAGATGTTTTCACTTATGTTTTTCTTAAGTTGGTCAGCAGCCTGCGCTTAACTCGGTCAACACACTTAGCTATTCAGCTCCTTCCGAACATAACTTTCTCTGCGCTTAGCAAAAATATGAAAAATTCTGTGTGTCATGCGTGTTGTTGGCAATTTGCCCATATTAAAAACAGAAAACAAAAAAAAAAAAATGAATAAACTTTCTCTGTGGCATTCATACTTTTTTATGGCTTTTAAGCATGCCGGGGGAGGGACTTATATCCATCCACAGCTTGCGGTACGAGGCAAAGCGCACAAAACTTTTTCCCTTATGACTCGCTTATGAAATTAAGCAAAATTTCTACCGGCATCCCCCATCTCTCACCCTCTTCCCCTTCCCCTTTCTCTAATCTCATGCATGATGACGTTTTGGCTTAGACAAAAACAGATTTACAAACAAAATTTGAAGAAAAAGTGTAGCATAAAGTAGGTATAACAAATTTTATGCACTTTTTATGAGTTTGGCAAGTGTTTGTAATTAAATTAATAAATTCTGCTTGGCTGCAAACACTTTTTATGTGACTGCAAATTCAAATTTAATTGCTGAGCTTAATTTGCTCTTTATGCGGTCATTTTGTAGATGTTTTATTGCTTCTAATCGCTTAAGTTTGATGTGTGGCAGCTTTGTAGATTAGAGCAAAGTGGTTGCCTCTAAATGAATTTGAATAGTCAATTGGGACTCAATGAAGTTTATCAAAAAGCATCAATAAAGCAAATCAAAATGTAATGTTTCTATTGCGAGTCTTCGTTGCTGTGACTGATTAAATTACTCTTTGGTTGTTAATAAAACCGATATGTGACCCAATTTGTTTTTGCGAAGTCAATGATAAAATCATAAGTAATTTAAATATAAGTTAAGCTATTACCACATTCTGTACACATTTCTTAAGACACGAGCCGCTGGTGATATTGAGATACTTCGATAAATCACCGCAGAAAACACGAAATCCTCGGGTCGAATTTTTAGTTTATTTTATAAATTCATTTAATTTATTATTTGACAATAAATAACAATTTTAAGGGAATACGTATAAGTCTGCATTTCTCTATTAATTTTATTAAATTCTTATTAAGAATTCTTATGGCGAAAATATTTTCATGAAGAAACAGCATATTTCAAATATAATGAAAAATTAAAGCATATATGTTCTTGATCAGTATCAAAAAATGAACAAATTAGAATGAAAAGACGATTCGAGATGGAGGCACTAAATGTTATATGATATCTGAGTTGTTCCTTTCCTATTTATAGCAGTGAAAAGTTCTCACACTCAAAAGGAATTTAAATTAATACGTTTTAAAACTGCTGAGTCAAAAATGATGTGAAAAAAAAGTTACGAAAATAGACCGTGTGAAAAGCTAAGCTAAAAAAAAAAGCGAAAATAAAGTACGAACAATATTTAATCGCACCGCTGGCCAAATTTGAGAGGCGGAGGGGAAGAGAAGCTAAATTGGGCGGCTCGCGGAGTGCTCGCGTGGAGAGATGCACTTAGGCCAGGCGAGGAGGCCAACGTTAGTGCTCCTGGCTGGGGAAAGTGGCAAGGCAACGGCAAGTTGATGTTGCTGCCGTCTTGGCATCTGATTGGGGCCCTCCTAGTGCTCATGGCAACAGCGGGGGACTCCACCAATAAGATCATCTTGCCGCAGATACTCAACGGTAACGTCGACAGCGGCAGCAACAGCGGCTTTGGTGCCTCCGGCACCAGCAGTGCCAAGCATAACAGTGGCACCAACAAGTCAGCGGCACCAGCAACTGGCAACGGTGGCGCCACCGCCAACGGCAACACCGTCCTCGGCAGCAACGGCATAATTGTCGCCGGCGGTGTGCCCAATGTGCCAACATCGAATTTAAATGGTAAGCACGCCCCACAATCAACTCTCAATAGCTACTTCAAGACATCAAATAAATATTGCATTTTTAGAATATACAATAGTTGATAATATCAAAAAGAGAACAGAGTTTATTATTTTTAAATTATAACTACTTTAAATATATGCATATCTGTTTAATTTATCGGAAGTAATATTTGTTTAGATCAGATGTGTCAGCATCAGATTATTTAGCATAGTTAGAGGTGTAAATTAAAATCATTTTTTTCCGTTTGGTAAATATAAATATTTGACTATGCATGATAAAACTAAAATTCCAAAACAAAATAAAAAATATATAAACAACTTTTAATGGTAATTTAATTACAATAATTGGTTCAAAATTCAATGCAGAGATTCGGGAAATCCCAATCAGACACAAAACAAAAAAGAGTTTGTAATCCTCCAGTGCTCATTGCCACCATTTGTTGGGCAAAGTTTTTTTTTCGCGTTAATTCCCTTTCAAATTTCGTGGAATTTGTTGTTTTGTCTGACATGAGCAACATAAAAAATGATTTTACGGCGTTTTTTGCTTTTGATTAGATTAATTATCGAATATGTGTTTTATAATTAGTGAAATTTGCAAAAAATATTTATTTTGCAAGAAGTGGAAATTTCAAAATTAACTAATACAAATATTCCTATGGACCTAGTGAAAGTTATCAATTTGCTTCCATTTTGTGGTAAAATTCAACTTACTTAAACATAAAAAAAAACACTTATTTTTAAGAGCTTTTCGCGTTATCCTTTCAAGCCTAGCAAATCAATGATAATTTTAACTAATTCGTGAAGAGGCAAAATTCAGTCATTGGGTAAACGAGCGTTGAAGGTCCTGAAAAAGAAAACCGCAAACAAGAGGTTCGCTATAAAAAAATGAGTACAACAAATTCAATTTTAAAATTTAAGAAACAAAATATAAACAAAGACAAAATTGATTTGTTGTTATCAATTTGACTGCTATTTAATTCGTTTTCTAAAAACATTAAATAAACTTAAACCATCCAGTAGCCAATTTTTTTTTTAATTTTATTTTGAGCAGCATTTATGTTTTAAATAATTTCTGTTTTTTTCTAGTCTAAGTCTAGGAAAAAATGCCTTGGGAAGGAATGTGCCAAAAAATGTAAAGAACTTAATTGTTTCGCACGAATGCTCTGTTTATTAGGCTGATAACAAGTATTTTTTATAGAAATTTATGAAAAAGTCACGTTTTCCTTTTATTAGGAATAGGATTGAAAAAAAGCTGATGAACATTTTCAATATTTGTGTAAGAAATATAAATATAATTTAAATATACATATAAATTTCTGCGATTTATTTGTGTTTTAAGTCGTTAGAGAAAGGCACAGGTTAAAACTAAACTTCGTCATACAATTTAAGTTTCGGATTGTGATATTTAGCAGAATTGTACGGAAAATAGTCGACGGCGATATCGTCTTCAAGAGGTATAAGATAATTTGCTGTATAATATAAATATATTGAACATAATATAGAAAAGATTATAAGGATTATATTAAATAGATCTGGTTAATGGTATATTTGATAAATAGGAACAGATCCTGTTGATTATTCTGTCTTTATTTCAATCCAATGACAGATTTTCCTGTTGGCTAGTTTTAATATCAATCCGAGTCCCTTGAACCTTTCTTGCTTTATTCGTTCGAGGCCATACGCAGTGTATTTGATAGCCAGGTAGTTGCTATGAAGCAATCCAATTGCTTGGGACTTTGCAATTTTGTGTAATATGGCATACTTATCTTGGTTATCTTTATGCCAGCTCTGCCTGTGGGTCTGACATGAGTGTCTGATGCTATCAATGGCACTCGGCTCGTAGGCGCCATACCTCGGGCAATCATATTTACACACTGACAGCGAGACAGACAGGCAGCCAACCAGCCAGACAGACAGACAGACAGACAGCCAGACGCAGATACAGAGAGAGAGAGGGAGAGAGAGAGAGAGAGAGAGAGAGGCGAGTGAAGTGCGACAGGGCGGGATAAAATGTCGCCGTGGGTCATAAGTGAAACACGGCTATATGCCAAAAATTGAAAGCTAGCTGCTGCTGCACAGAGACGACGCGTGAAAAAAGAAAATCCCAGACACAAAAAGGGATAGATAGAGATAGAGGCAGAGAGATATACAAAGAGAAAGGGAAAGAGATAGCCCATGCCGGCTGTCATTGTTCTCAGGTGCAGCCAGAGTCAGGAGTGGCAAAAAAACAACAACAACAACAACAGCAACAAATATCGCTTAACTGTGCGCAAAATTCATTCAGGCAATGCAATTTATGTCGCAACAGGCGACATCAACCATATCAACAAAGACTCCCCTCCCACCACCCTCCCAGCAGTCACCAACCATCAACCACATCCCACCACTCGTTGCTGTTCCGTTCTTTTCTTCCAATTACCATTCAAACTTGTCTCCCGCTCTGGCATCAATTGCTGCTGGCCAATATCATTGCCAACTTTTTTCTGCCAAGCCAGACGTAAAAACCTGCCAAAAGTGGGTATATTGCATAATGGAAAGAGACTGAACAGTTTTGGATATTATTTATAGCCCACACATATATTAACTGGCAAATATTTGGCTCTTATCGATCTATCTAACATAATGATAGGTACTTGTTTTGCCAGCTTTTTAGTGTAAACCAGAATAAATTTCAAGTTTCAAGGGTGTCAACCAATCAAGGCATAAATCTTTTAATACCTTTAAAAATAATATGTGTGAATAAATAAATTTGAATATTTGTTTATGGCGCAAGTTATTGGTTTATTTTCAAACAGTTTGAGCTTGAAATCCATTGCTGACTAGAAGACGAATCCCTACGGCCTCATTACTTTATATATAAGAAATAAAATACACACTTCTCTTAGAGAAAGCAACAACTATTTTTAAGCAAGAAAATTAAAATATTTGGCTGGAAAAAGGCTTCAAAAAGCATTGGACAACAGCATTTTTACAATTTTCTCCACTTAAACTTTGTTTAGTTTTAACTTAGTTGTGATGCATATTCAGCTTAATAATGAATGCTCTAAAACTCTTTTCTAATTTAAATATGTTTTTAAATAGTTTGCTCTTTTATAATTGACCAAACTTCAAGATAAACAGGCTGTTTCAATTAATCTAATTTAGACTTTCCAATCACTTTCACTTTTTCATTCTTTACACTTTAAATTTAAATGTTTTTAAGAAAATTCGTCAACTTAAAGCAAAATAAAGTTCCTTGTTGAATTTACATTGAGCAGGACATCAGTAAGTCGCTTTACTCTATTTTTTAGGCCTTGAGTTGTTGTAGTTTGCCAAGTGGGCGAAGAGGCGGGGCAGACAGGTGAGGGGTGTGGGTGGGCTGACAAAAATTTATATGCAGACACGCGCTCTGGCGCGAAAATTGCAGCTGGATGAAATCCCATGATTATGCAGAGAATTTGACGCTGCTGCAAAAAGGTTGCACGCTTGAGCTGCAACAGCATTTACAATTTCTTCTTTTTTTTTTGTCTGTTCGCTTTTCCTTGTTGCTATTGCTGTTGTTGTTCTATGCTTTATGTTTTTCAATTCAATTCAAGTGCATGCGGCACTGGATGAAAAAGAGTCGACATGAATGTCATGGTTACATTTGCCTTAGCTGCTACTAATTTATGCAACATTTTCCCTTCCATCCACTAACCATTCCTCTGCCTCGGCCAGCTGTTGTTTCATAATTAGATGGTTTCACTCATGTTGTGGGCGTGGCAAATACAATGCTCTATGTCAAATGCCAGAAGGCTGCATTAGTGCGCTTATAGACGAGTGTGTACATGTGTGTATGTGTGTGTTTGTGTGTGTTTGTGTGTGTGTGTGTGTATGTGTGTGTGTGTGTGTGTATGTTTGGGTGTGTTTAGACCCCAGGGTCCAGTGGAATTGGCAACGCTAACCAAATTGTATTGACTTTTGCCTTATGCACTATGCCATATTACATGAATTTCTTTGTATGTGTGTGGTGTGTGTGAGTGTGTGTATGTGTGTGTGTGTGTGTGTGAGTGTATGTTTTCGTGTGAGATTGAGTGTGAGGCTGCCGGGCATTATAAATATCTAATTAGGCCCAAAACTGTTGCATACAAGCGGGCTGCGTGAATCGCAGCCACAGAAAATTAAGTTAAGCACACACAAAAGTTTACATAAATAACAATAGAAATTGAATTCATTAGTGAGCTAGAGTTATATAAGCAAAATCGATACTCAATAATAATGTTATGTATTTCAAATTTAAAATGATGTGACAAAAAGCGAACATTTTATGAATGCATATTCGAAGTGTTAAAAATTATATAAATATTTAGATTATAGTTATGTACACAGACAGATACAATAAAAACGTGACAAAAAACACAACTAGTATATGCATATGTGAACTATAAAATATTACAGAGTTACGAACAATACATTTACTAAAATCTATGTATTTATCCATAAAACTTCTCATTTTTTGCAAACATAGCATTTTCTGAGATGATTGACTTTGTAGAATATAAACTTGTTTAAATATTTAACATATTTTAAATTAATTAATAAATATACGAATCGAAGTTAAGAATTATAATATATATTTGCCACACATTCTGCATAACTAATAAAATTCAAATGAATTTAGTAAAATCATCTAGAAGTACGAAGAAAGAAAATTGTCTTTAGTATATTTGACAACTTTGTAAATAAATTTATTATTTATTTTATTTGTTAATTAAGTAAAATGATTTTCAGAATTTGCACTGTTTTCATAATTATGCACATTTCACAATTTAGCTCGCTGATTAAAGCAATTTTGAGCCTTCTAAGCTTCATTTCTGCCTTTCGGCCATGTGATTCAATAACATTTCTGCTAAACAGTTAATTGAATTGCAACGGTATTTTATTAGTACACGGCTCAAAGCGATTGAATTCAATTAAACAAACATTCTTAAGCCGCACAAAGCAAAGCAAAGTATCTAATGAGTATTTATAATTTGCAGAAAATCAGAAATTACCCTGAATTATTGAAATTCACCATACTCTTGGCGCCTATTTTAGTAATTGTTGATGAATGGATACAAATCGATAGCTTATAAAATTATTTGAAAACTTTTATTGAATTGTATTATTTCGATTTGTGTATTTTTTACATCTTTTAAAACAGATTTTATATGGTAAACTTAACAAATCATTTTCATTGTATAAACATAAGTTCATCCCTGATTGCTTTTAAAATTGATTTTCTTTGTATTCCATATTACGGTAAACATCAAGCTTACTTATTTATTTTAAATTAAAACAAGAACTCAAACGTCAGCAAAAATTCGCAAGAGAAACAAACTGTTTGTTCATTAATTAAATATTAATGAAAGTTGTGATGACAAAGAAGAGAAATTTTAACTGATTGTGAGCAGAAAAATTCGAAGAGTAAAAATTGTTTAACTTGTTGATATTTAAAGTAAATAATTCGAGTCTGAGTGTATTTATTTATATGATTATGTTGACTTTCGTTTGAATACAACTTAATTATTTTACACTGATATTTTGTTTAATAATTGTTATTTGCCTATGAAAATTATGCGCATGCTTTTTTCATAATTCTAAAATTAAAATTAGAGAAAAACAATTTAATTATCAAAATATATATACTTAATTGTTGGAAATACATAATTGGTGTTCTATTTCTATTCATTGTTGCAGTTGTTGTTGAAGAACCCGAATTTACCGAATACATCGAAAACGTAACTGTACCTGCTGGACGTAATGTCAAATTGGGTTGCTCCGTTAAAAATCTTGGCTCCTACAAGGTGGGTACTACGAAAATCTAATTTTGATACATAGGTTAAGTTGCAGAAGTTTTAAGTTTTCGTTTTTGCTAATTGGAAACAGATCAAAATCTCGCAGGTTAAGATTGAATTACTTTCTGCTTAGACCTTAACTGACTAAAAGGAAGCCAAACTGGCACTTATTTTACGATAGCTAGGATCAGCTAAATAGCATTGAAATCCATAACAATTCCGACTGCAAGTCCACTATTCCAATATTTGGTTAAGAAGCTCACTTCACGAAATGCCAAGCCACATTTTTGCATACCTGTGCAGCGGGCATAAACACGTTTAGTGGTTTTCGCCCGGTTGTCCCTTTAAAAACTATTTAATAACATCTAACGACATGCAACATACCACGCTGCATACACCCAGTGTTGCAAGGAGCAGCGCAATGTGCACACGTAGACGACTGCAATTTCACAGCTCAGCATCAGCATCAGGATCACACACAAAAACCCAAAAAAAAAAAGAGAACAAAAATGAGAAAAGTAGGTGAAAAGTAAAAAAGAGAAAAGAATTGGTAAACCCAGAAGCGATGGTAAAAAGCGGAAGCGAGAAAATTGCATCATAGTGTCGCATATAAAAATAAACTCGACTGGTTTCATGAGCGGGCCAAAACTGTTTGTCTGTGTGTGTGTGTGTGTGTGTGTGTGTCTGATAGCTATGAATAACACGCATGCAATACATGTAACCGAGAAGCTGCCTGTCAACGGTTTGGCAATGGAAGGGGCTGGAAGGGTGGGTGAATGGGCAGACGGGTAGTCTTGCTCACCAGCACACAGACACAGCTACTTAAACATGCCATCAGTCGGTCTACGCTTTTTGCCACCTGTTTACCCCCCCCCCCCCTCCCTTACCGTTTTGGCCATTTCATTTACTTGATGCGGTGCACGTTTCTGGTGTGTGAAAAAAGACGCTTTGTCGTCAGTGCTCGTTTTCTTGTTGCTCGCATTTACACCTCAATTTGATTCTATTTCCTGGATATGGCAAGCCAAAAATACATCTAAGATATCAGCTGGCACAGCCACACCCCTCTCTCTCTCTCACTCTGTTTCTCCCTCTCTCTTTCCTTCTCTCTCTCTCTGTCAGTAAGTTGGGCTTAGCTCCTTGAGCCAGCTTTTAGAGTGCTCAGTAATGATGCTCGGAGGCGCCGCTACAGCAATTGAAGTGCTATTCACATTCATAGCATTGCTCCCCATTTTCCATGCTAATGATGTCTTTGGGGTTCAGCTGCAACTTGCCGTGATCCTTGCATTTGTGGTGCAACCATCGAAAAGCTGATTTTTGTGGCATTTAGTTGAAATGCTTATTTGGCTCTTGGGTCACAATGTGGGTCACCAATTAGTTGACTTCTGCTATCGTCATCACTTTGGCCTTTATTCAATCTGCCATCCAATGCATTTCCCTCACTTCATCATTTTCTGCTTCACATTTTATCTAGCCTCGTCAATCGGTTTTCTTTTGCCATTTCTGCCGAGTAATCAAATCATTAGCACTCATTACACGCTGATTTCTTGCAAGCTGCTTAATTAATAAATCATTTTGCGTTTTTTCTCTTTGCTTTTTTCACTTGCCGGACCTCAAGAAAAACAGCTAATAAAATTATTGACGTTTGAATTTGCCGACTGGAAAATACTTTGAAAGCACTGCAAAAAAAATAATAATTGTCTGAGCGGGTTTATCTATCAATTAATCATCACAAAGAAATCTCATCTTAAAAGGAAATCATTAATAAAATGAAAACAAATATAAACTTACATATATGTTGCTTGTATTCATTATTATTTAAGCTAGCTTTATTATCACTTGAGAAAAGCAACTAATAATTGATCATTATTAATACTAAAGCCTCTATCGATTCGAAAAGTGTTCATTGCTCAAATCTAATCCAACCTTCATCATAAAGTGAACAGTGTATAAATATGCTAATGGTGCATGAAAGGAAGAGGCGACTTGTTTTTTGTTTTGGCCCCTTGCTCTTTCTGCTTCATTGCACTTCCACAGAAGTTTTCCAAAGGAAGCGTGAGTTATTTGAATAAAAGAGAAAGCAGCTTGTTTATTAATCAGTTTCCGCAACGTTTGAATAGCTGGTCGAGTCTGTTAGCAGTAAGATTAACATGGAGATTGGTCTGGCAAAACAACTTGTTTACAGCAGATGCAGCTAGAAGAGAACTGTGATACTTGATTTGTTTATTTATTTAACCAGTTTTGTTAAATCAAGTATTGTATGGCACTAGCCTGAGCATTAGTTGCTTAAATGCATACGAATTGAATTTATAATTAGGATAAGACGATTGTTGATATTCGTTCTACTTGACTAATTATTTATTGTCGCTGCTGAATGCATCATTTGTACATTTCTATATTTATTTTCAATTAAGTAAGTGTTGTCTTCTCTTTCGAGAGATGGCTAATAAATGGATTTTGTAAAAACAAATGACAATAACTTTTGATCTTATCTGTGGAGGTGGATCGACTTTTTGATCTCTGAAAGATCTTACCAGAAAATGTATAGGTCAAAATTGAGAAAAAAGGTTACCAGCAATCTAGCTTCAAAATATGTTGACAGTTTGAGCTTTATAAAGCAGCTAAACTCTAATTTTGCAATCGAGAAGCCAAATTTCTGAATTTTATAAGCGAATTTCGAAAATCAAGTGTATTTATTCTGACTAAGAACCAATATAATTTATTAGCCCGTATTTCACTTTTATTATCTATCTCTGTTGCTATTCCTGACTGATGACTGATCGATTACTTTCCACATCTTCCCATCTATGCAAATATTAATATCGCATTTGCAAATAACGTCGAATTTACACAATTATTTTGATTTTGCAGGTCGCTTGGATGCACTTTGAGCAATCGGCCATTCTCACGGTGCACAATCACGTGATCACGCGCAACCCGCGCATCAGTGTCACGCACGACAAGCACGACAGACATCGGACCTGGTATCTGCACATCAACAATGTGCACGAGGAGGACAAGGGTCGCTACATGTGCCAGATCAATACGGTGACGGCCAAAACGCAGTTTGGCTATCTGAATGTTGTTGGTGAGTTGGGTCGGGTAAGGGAAAGGGAAAGGGAAAGGGAAAGGGGAAGGGGTCTAGCAAAATCAACAAGTAAGCGTGGCCAGCTCTAATCAGCAATCGGCCAGCCCCAAAGGTGGGCGCAAAAAACATACGAAAATCCTGTACAAATACTCTCCGTATTAAAAAAATTAATTCATTAGGCTTTCAGAGAGCTCCAACAAAAACAGGTAAAACAAGTAAGGATGCCCGACTATGGCATACCCTGCTAATAGAAATCAGATCAATGTAACAATACATTTTCGATTATAACTCGGGTGTTTCTTGTCCGATCTTAATGAAATTTTATCATTAATATGACTATGTATATAATGAGATATACGGGAGCTTGTATTCGAAATTTGTCTCTATTTCTTATAATCTCTGAGTTGGAAATGGCTAGATCGACTCGGCTTTCGATCCTCATCAATAATACACTTTATGGGGTCGGAGATGCTTCCTTCTGCCTGTTTCATTCTTTTGGACACAATCGTTATACTCTTTTTTATCCATTTTTAATGGGTTAAGGGAATAAAAACAATAACAATGGGAGTGGAAACGGGAACGGGAACAGAACTTCAAACCAGAGGAAGCCAAAAGCAAAAGCAAAAGCAAATTTTGGTGCGTTTTTTAATTTGTGTGTGTGTGTGTGTGCAGCGCACAGTTCAGTGATTCTTTTGGTCAGACGAAATTGTTTTCCTGGATGGCAAACAAAACAAATTATTAAAAATGCATGCGAGATTCGGTCAAAAGGGAGCGCATATTTTTAATGAAAAAATTATGTGCTGCAATAAAAGAAATTAAACAAAACAGCTTACTGTGAAATTGTGCAAAGCCTGTTTCACTGCCAAATATTTGCATTTGTTCTGGCCAAAATCATTTGCACTAATCAGAGCCCGTTACAATACAAATAAAAATAAAATAAAGACATGAAAACGCATTAATTACGTGAGCAGGTAAAAAGTTTATAATTTCATAGCGTTAAAAGGGTATTTTTTAATTTAATGACAGAATATATTTGCAAATGCGTTCGATTCATAAATAAATCAATTGTCAAACGTAAATTGAGCTATATTTGGATAGATAAAAGATAAGAGGATCAAGCTGCCCAGTATAAGGGATAGTAAATATAAAATAAAATAAACGAGAGGAATAATAAATGGAAATCTGAATGACAGCTTCAATTCCATTCGATAGCTCTTAAGCGATATTGGATGGAATGAATATTAGATTTTCTGAATATTGCAATAGCTTTTAAAGTTGTCTCCTAATTGGCCCTAACAAATCAATTAAAATAACGCGGATATTCTGCATTTGAATCAACTGCAAAATAATTATAAAATGCATATTCAATGCTGGAAAAATTGAAATTGAAAACATTTCAATTGCAATTTCCTGTTGCACACAAAACTGACACCAACAAACAATGAAATTTATTACCTATGTATTTTAGCTGAGGGACGCTTAAAATTCAGCTTATTTGGACAGAGTGGGTGGTGATTTATATATGTGTCTAAATGCAGCTGGCACATGCATTTATTACGGAATGCATTCTCTTTAATCTTAAATGGTTTTCATGATTACCACTTGCATTATTTCTACTTAAGCGGATTATGAATATAACAATTTACAGATGGTAACAACTAACTCTCAAACACAGTTGCGCCCTGTTGTTTGGCATTTAATTTGTGGCAGGTTGTCAAACCAAAACAAATTTATGTTCCTTTTTCCCTTTTTGGTACGTTAGATATAAGAAATCCGATTTGATTACGAATTGTCATCTTGATTTTTACCAGAAGTTACTGGTACAATATAGAAGTTTGAAGTGGGAACGTTCTACTCGGGCGTAACTCGGATACTATTTAAGCAAAAAAATTACTAACATTAAACAAATACATATAGTATATCATATAGGTCAGTCAGTTTTATCTTATTATAGGCTAAGCCCATTAGAAATGGGTGTGCAAAGATATTTAAAAAACAGACGCTAACATTTCCGACCCCACAAGGCATATGTATGTATTTATGTATATAGCCAGATCGCTTTGATCCTATATATATATATAAATATATATGGGATTTAGAATAGGTGATAAACAAACAAGAAGCGGTCAAAGCGTTCTGGCAACCTTGTTGCCATTGTCCCGATACTATTGTGAGCAAGTAATTGAGTCAATAACGATATCAGTGAAGTATCAATATCTGATTGGTATCGACATCGGTTGAAGCACTAAGCAGACAACAGTGGCTGCTGCCAGCGATGGAAGAAAGGAGCACGAATAATACATATCGCTAAGTCACCCATTATAATACAACAAATACAATGCATAGCATATTATCTACAAAAATATTCTCACTCACGGGCAAGAGCCGAGAACAAGCGCATCTCTGAGCCTATAAGAGCTAATGACTTGAAATTTTGAATACACATAAGTTCTCGTATTCCAGCTTGAAAAAAGACATTCACATTCAGCTGAGTTGTATTTCAGTCTGATACAGTCTGTTCCGATTTGTGGCTTTTAAAAAATTGTTTCGCTTAGGCTCTGATTTGAGATTCCGATGCTGAATTTCCATCAGTAAACATTCAGTTTTCTATCTCGATTTCAATTCCGGTTCGACTTCTTGATGCGTAGTGAATTTAGTAAAAATTCGACATACCTTTAACGTAACCAACACAATTTTGCAGTGCCACCAAATATCGATGATTCACTGAGCTCCAGCGACGTCATCGTTCGCGAGGGCGCCAACATTTCCCTGAGGTGTCGGGCGAGCGGCAGTCCCCGGCCCATCATCAAATGGAAAAGGGATGATAATTCGCGCATAGCCATCAATAAGAATCACATAGGTAAGTGCAAAAGCAAACGCAGTGGACATCGGCAGGTGCATCAATCATTTAAGCGACTTCAAACGACTCTGACTCTCGTTCTCTCTCTCACTCTCTCTCTCTCTCTCTCTCTCTCTGTCTCTTTCGATTACAGTGAACGAGTGGGAAGGCGATACGCTGGAGATAACTCGCATTTCTCGCCTGGATATGGGCGCCTATCTCTGCATTGCATCCAACGGCGTGCCCCCAACGGTTTCCAAGCGCATCAAAGTCAGCGTGGACTGTGAGTATACATCAAAGGGGGGTAGCTGGGGTATGGGATGGGTGCTTATCAGATTTTACTTTTTGACTGTTTGTCAGGACGAAAATGATAAAGTGATTCTTCCGTTCTACTGACCAAAATTCTGTATTTCATACTATTTGCCCAGCACTTGATGCGTTTACAGATTTGTTCGCACAAACCAATATTGAAATGTTTCAAAAAATTGAAAACATTTGCCTAAATTGTAGAAATTGACCAAAAAAGTAAACACAGCTTTATAGTTTTGGGCCTGGTACAATGATTTTCAATTTATTTTTTGTTACGTGTCAGCCAACATCGTTTGATGGCTAAAAACAACCTTTATGAATTCGTGGAGTGGCCGCTTTTTAGTTTGCTGCTGCTGTTTGCTTTGCTGTTCCGCAGCAACTCATATTTCCATTTCGCGGCTGAGGATTAAACTTGATCTGATAGCCACATTGTAAATGTGCACAGTGGTGGAACTCGATAAATTTTTTTATTTTTTTTGTGGTTAATTTGAATTTGTGAAACGGGAATTGAGTACACATCTTAGTAACTGTTTGTACTTTCGGCGATTTGTTTGCCAGTTTATAAATTGAGAATATATATATATATATATATAACAATTTTAACACTGTATTTTATATTTTACATTCCCTTTTGTTTGATACCTTTCAAATTGTAGCTTAACTGATCTTTTTAATTTGAAACAAATTATTTATTTCCAATTTTATAAATATATTTTTTTAAGTATTTATAAATGTATTTAACAATATTTTATTTGAATACCCACATTTTCTTTTATTTGTTACATTTTAAGTTTTATCTCAACCATTCCTTTCAAGTCCAACCAATTATTTTATGAGTAATTTCTTTTATTTAGGATCATATCTACTTATTTCACCCAATCAGTAAATATACATTTGTCCACTGTTCTTGGCTGATCGTAATTCAAGGCGCCACTTCTGGATGTTGCCGCAATTTTGAAAACAAAAAACTCAGCAAAATAAACGCAAGAAAAAAGGGGACAACTTCAAATCAGTGTGCAGTTGTTTTTAAGATTTATTACAAGCGACAGTCACATCAGATGTTGACCGTGTGCTGTCATGTCAGCAGCCAACAATCGAGGGGCGTGGCCGTCAGGTAGGCGGGTGGTCGCAGAAAATTTGCTCGTTGGCTGTCACTTAAAAATGCCGCAAGCATAAATCTATTTTTGTTTCGTGCTCGACATTCGCTTGGCAGCTAACAAAACAAACTAAACGACAGCCAAACAAACCCCGAGGCCACAGGCCAACACCAGTAGCCAGTATGCAGTAACTGGTACCTAGTACTTACCACCCACTAGGAGGTCACTCCCCAACAGCAACAGCAATAGCAAAAAGTGCAACACGAGTTGCACGCGTGCGAAGCGAAGCCATTAAAAAAGAAGTGGAAATGCCTGATTGCCACAGACGAACCCGGGAACAAATGTGCATTGGCATTGAGTGGGGCACTCAAAGACTGGGAAAATATGAAAACATGAAAAATACGAACAAAAACTAAACAGATTTGATGCACATGAGATTGTTTGAACAAATTATACAAAACTCAAATGGAATAGCATAATCTTGAAGAATGGTTAGCTTAAAAACGCCGAAGATTAAATACCCTTGCAGACCGGAGTCCAAATATCAAAATTTAATTCAACTTATCAAAATTAATGATCATCATTACTTTTTTGTTAATATATTTGTTTACGTTATATCTAAGAAAACAAATTAATACAATCTGTCAACCGCAAGTTCAGGTTTTCCGGCAGAAATATATCTTTTTCAAAAGGTAGTTTTCTAACAAAAATTAATACTCCTTAAATGTGTTGAGATTTTTGTTCTTGGATTTATCTTTTAATAAATAAACTGCTGAAAATATTTTTTTTATCGAATTTATGAAATATGAATTAATCTATATTATTTAGTATTTGTTTATCATGCAGATCTTTCTCTCCAAAAAGAAAAAAGTGCATAAGACCCGTTCAGATTTCAGAAAAATCTGAAAATAATATTTTAGTTATTAAGTAAACATGAATCCTTCGAGACTTGAGTACATTTTTATTCTAAGTGTGACAATATTTAGCAATTTTAAATTCTGATTGGTCTTCAAATTGCAAATATCCCAAAACCAGTGCTCGATTGCAATAGTTTGTATTGAGACCAGGCATATTTACTTAAGCATGGATTTGATTTTTAAATATGGTTGAGACAAATTTGAAAGTCATGTCTGTCAAAGAAAAAAAAAAATAGAATAAAATAAAATAAAGTGTGCAGCAGCTCCCCAAACAATTTGTTAAAACAACTGTGACAGCTTGCATATGTCCTTTAGCCAGGAAACACACACACACACACACATACATACACTGCTCCTTCTTCCTCTATTTTTTATTTCTCTTTTACTTTATTTTGCTGTGTGCTTCTGGCGTGCGTTGCTTAACAAACAGGAAGCAACAAATTCAGCTACTGTTTCCGGTTTGAGTGTGCGTCTGTGTGTGTGTGTGTGTATCGAATTTGTTTCTTACTTTTGTGACTGCATACTGATTTGTTTGCTTTGTGCAGCACCAGCAGCAGCAGCAGCAGAACATAAGGACGACATATGCTGCAAACGACCCTTAACCTGAGCCACTCCAGCAACAAAAAAACACACAATTTCTAGCCTTTTGGTTTTCTGAATCGTTAACTTAAGCAGCTAATTTGGTATGCAATCCAGATATTCAGCATTTATATAATTTCTTGGGACTTTTTATACAATTTGTCGACGCTTAGCAGAGCTTTAAAACACCGACAACTGACTGAGCTCAACTGGCTTACATTTCACCCAGTGCACAATATCTCATAACGGCACAGAAGAGGTGAAAGCTGAAAGTTGAATCTGATATGAGAATGGAAAATTATATACAAACTGTCGACTATTAAATATTATAGCTCACTTAATCATATGATCTGGGGTTAAATATATAAAGCTGTTTTAAAATTTGCGATTCATGATAGGATATGTAAAAATAAGGAACAAATTATGGAAATGCAATTATATTATTTTTTAAATGCTTATTATTATATATGGCGTTTTAACTTAAATAATCTCTTAATCACTTGTTGTATTTTCACTATCGATATTAATGCGATAAGGAATAACTCATGTATATATAAAATTTACTACTTATATTCGAAGATATTTTGGCGTCGGTGTCCAAAATGATTCCTTCTGCTTGTTGCATAATTTTGCTAAGCTGCATTACAACATTTTTATCAATCTTTAATTTAGATACGATTTATTATGTATTTACTTTTATTTATTTATTAATTTTAAATTAAACTAAAATTTTTATTTTGAATAAATTGCTTTTTTAGGCCATATTAAATAAATAAATCAATTTAATAAATATTAATTCCAAATAGTAAATTATCACTAGAATCACATGTTTATCGTAATTTTGTATGTAAGAGTAAAAAATAAATTTATTTAATACTTCAATATATATATAGATATATATACGATGACTGGCAAAATGATAATGCCCAGTGTAAGAGAATAGATGAGAAAATACTGAAGTACTTAACGACAGGACAAACATTTTCAGCATTTCCTGTCCAGTCCTTGGCGGTGATTTAAATTACAATTGAGTGGCGACAATATTGTAAGAGCTGAACTCAAGAAAGCAGCCAACGAAGTTGCTAAGTGGCCAGCCAGTCAGCCAGTCAAGTAGCTGCAAAAAAAGGTCCTGAGTCAACAATAATTTAGAATGGCAGTAGGCGGATGAGTGGCGGAGTGGTGGGTGGTGCGAGATGGGTGGTTGCGCTGAGTGGTTTGGTGCTTGCGCCTCAGTAGTCAGTGGACAGTTGAGTGGCAGTTTTGTCTAGCAGCTCCGAGAAAACTGCAAGGTGCCATTGCTGAGTGTAAACAACTTGAAAATTAGCAGTTAATGAAGCCTCGTTACGGCTGAAAGGAGGAGGATACAGCCAGAGATTGCCGTTAAAATACACCGGCATTGTTTGGCGTAAAGGTAGAGTTGATTGCACCAAGGCATGTTAGTGCAATATTTGCGGAATTAGTGTAATGGCAAGTGGACAAGATGATGGCAACGAGCTGATTGTACTGCGATTGACCGAAAGGGGTCGACAAAAAGGGGGTGCAGGAGAGAAAGTAGAGAGTAGACAATAAAAATGGACAAGGGAATTGGCCACTGCACGTGCCATTTGAGGAGAGTATGATAACAAATACAAATTGGAATTGAAAATCAGTTGACAAGCGTTGAAAAGAAAAAAGGATAATTCAAACATTTGATTCTCAATCAAATTAATGGGTTCTCTTAAAGCTTGCTGTTCTGTGACTTTGAGACTTCTGCTCTCTGTATCAATTCATATTTTAAAACGTATTTCAAGTTTCGTCTTTCTTGTCTAATTTAGAAACAATTATCATTATTTTTGCAATTTATGCAATTCGATTAAGGCATCAAAATGGCAGCTTTCATTTTGCTCTCAATTTGAATCAGATTATTCTATCATAACGACGGGAACTTCAATGACCATACAATCTCTTTAATCCATTTCGGTAACTTTATAAGTTGCTCCTTGCTGCATATTGACTAGCAAAGTTTCAAGCCAAATTTATGCATGCATTCTATTCATTTCGCTCGTCCAGCATTTATATATGTATCTGTGAGTATATAAAGAAATATATATATATATATATATATGGCAAATGCATGTATATAGTGGTTTTTTTCTGGCTTTGGTTTATGCAAATGCAAGTCGAGCAAGATCTTAAGTATAATTTTTTATGCAACTGATTTTCATTTAAATTGAGAGCCAAGACAAGTCAGAACTATACGAGGCTGCGCCTTTTCTTTGCCCGGTAGGAAAAGTTCGCCTTACCTCACACACACACACACACACACACACACACACACACACACAAACACACACACACACACACAAACACACACACAAGTCATATTCAAAGTGAGTATAAATAGGAAAAAGAGAAGAAAAAAAAAAACTATTTTTCTTTCAGCGAGCGCAGCTCATGAAAAATCTTATGAATAGCATTATTCAGTATTTTGCTTGGCTTGTTTTTTTCCTCAACGACTTGGAGTCTATTTGTTATTTGTTATTTGTGTGCATCTGTTGAGCTTCTGCGCCTCGTCGGTAATTTCTATAAAAGGACACCTATACAAAAATATGTCAATGTGCACCGAAAATCCCTAAAGGTATACAAGACATACTTAGTATCCCAAACAGAACTTTTGCCACACTTCAGGTGCACTACCGCGCACATTTTTAATTAAGAGATTAAATGCGAGTCGTATTTTCCACCTACTTTTTTCCTCAATGGGCACTAATGAACATTTTTTTTGTATTTCTTTGCATTTTGCATTTGCCACAGCTATTGTCAGAGAGATACAGAAAGAGATATAGAGAGAGATAGAGAGAAGTAGAGCATAAAAGAGAGGATCCCGAGTCTGTCATCATCATTAGACTGAGCAGAATGGCTTCTCCATTCATTCATCGGTTTTACCTTGTCATTTTGCGGCTGTTTTACCTTTTGTTGATTTATGCGACAGGCCATGAGCTGGCAATTAAGCTGCGGCTCAATTCTGAAGGGTTCTCCAGCCTTCCCCTCTTTTTCTGAGTCGTAATTCCCTTCTGCCCCAAGCCAATTGAAATTTTAATCAGCTTGAACACAAATTAGCGTCGTTTTTATGTTTACGAAAAGTAGCCTTAAGTATCTCTGCCTTTTGACGGTTTGGCTGGTCACCTTTTAGTTGTCTTTTTTTTTAATATCCTTAATCAAAAGGATATTAAGTGTCACGCGGCTTAAGTGTGACAAAATGCGCAACTTAATTAACTTGTCAACGGGTTAAGTGACGTGACTGGATATTGTGGACGCTGTAGTGCTTTGCAGCAAAGAAGAGCCTTGAAACCTGAAAGTTATTTGGATTAATGCCGAAACTTCACAGTGCTGATGATATCAGCCTAATTAGTTAAGTGAAAATTACTCAAGTATAGCATAGTAAAAGTACTATTATATTTGATAGCTGTTCTGCTATTGAAACCGATGTGCTCTCAAAGCAAATTGAAGTTGAATCACTAAGCAGACAATATGGATTGTATTAAAAGCTAAGGAATTGCTGATAATCTCAGTAATTTACATTGAAAATTGTTAGCCCTATTTCTAAAATAATAATTTGTTTGACATAAACAAGTATTTCAAGTGTTTGAAGTCTGAATTTTTAATAGTATCTAAAACATTTCAGTACAAAAACTCTTCAAAAATTATACACTTCAATAATACAACGCGCATAAGCATTTTGTTAATGCTTTTAAACATTTGTTTTAATAATTGCTTCTTTAAATAAATACTTCTATTTTTTTCTTATTCAACATCAATTTTAGTTCCGCCCATGTTGCTCATACCACATCAATTGGTTGGCGCACCCGAAGGTTTCAACGTTACCATCGAATGTTTTACGGAGGCGCATCCAACATCCTTGAATTATTGGACACGCGGCGAGGGACCAATCATACATGACTCGTATAAATACAAGTAAGTTGAAAGCACAAATTTGTAGTACGATCTTAGTAATCTGCCTTCCAAGTTTGGTAGCTGTAGCTCTTAAATTGAAGGAAGATATGGGCTTAGAGGTTACCAGCAAGTTACCTTTCAAGTTACCTTCCAAGTTTGGTTAATCTATCTTTAGAATTGTTGGAAATATGCTGGCTTATTGATTTATACTTTTCGAAATATCGGCATTAACGATTATGGGCGTAGGTGTGGGCGTGACCATAAAAAATATGTTATCGGTTCTTAAACGCGCCTACCAGTAACATACCTACCTAATTTGACGGCTCTAGCTCAAAAACTGCGGAATTTATAGCCACTTGAAATTTATTTCGGCGAGGGGCGTGGGCGCGGTGGAGGTGGGCGTGGCATATGCCGATCTTTGAAGGATATTGCCAACAACCTACCAACCAAATTTTGTGACTGTAGTCTTAAAATTGTGGGAGATATCTGGCTTTATCGATTTGCGAATATCGATTTTTATCGATTTCTTATAAAAATACTTATTGTGAAATAATCCCAACCATAAGTGAATGCTAAAATTTTATTCTTTATTGCCACAAGTAAGAAATTAGTTCACAATGGTTATTGGCTGGTTAAATTAACCGTGTATTTTCCAGATTAGTTTTATATGTGTGGCTCTAATTTAAGTTTTGATTGGTTAAATCATCAAGAGCAATTCAGTATAAATCGATAAACTTTTGTTTAATGTGTCTGCATACCAGAAAAGGTGATTTTAACCATAATCTTTTACTGTTCTGCTTTTTCTAGAGTCGAATCGAGCGTCGGCGTGCCCGCTTATAAGACCCACATGAAGCTGACAATTATCAATGTTGGCAGCGGCGATGATGGCATTTATAAATGCGTAGCCAAGAATCCGAGAGGCGAAACGGACGGCATTATACGATTATATGGTAAGTAAATAAGTTATAATCGCAAAAATGCTGACAGCAGACATTCAGCACACGTCGTGCAATTCGTCAGCTTGTTCAAAAAGTTGCCATCAAATGCATTTTGAGTTGTTTGACAAACAAAAGTTGAAAGAACTAAATAGCAAATGCATAGTGGAAGGCAGTTAAGGAAAGTATGTTGCGTATACGCAGCATGGAACATTAGTGTTCTGGAAATGAAAAGTCAGCATTTGAGTAAGTTGTTTGTGTTTTTATTTTAATGGAAATTGCCTTTTTCGTGAAATGTGTGTGCAGAGAGTAAATAAGTGCGTCTTGGGGATGTGTTCAAATTAAGAAATATGTGGAACAAGCAATTTTTAAAACAATATTTACACAAGTCGCACGCTGAAATGCGAGGCGTAAAGAAACTTTGAATAGCTATTATAATATTTAAGAAATATTTAAAACTTTATCATTTGGCTATTAAATCAAGACTCCAACTAACTTATGAAATCTTGTATCTTTTGTTATTTGTGTGAATTGTTTGTGTCTCAATTGCCGTTTTGATCACAATCAAATGTTTGTCTGTGTTTGTGTTTATCTTGGAATTAACCCATACAATTTCATGTTGTGGCTTTTAGCACTTCATAAAATAATTTGGGTATAACCACACATTGTGGCTGGTTGTGGTTGGTTAACTAATTAAGCAATTTAAATGTGCAATGATTCCTTCGACAAGCTGCCTGCTTACAAACAACTCTGTTGCTGTCTTCATAGATTATTCTACACGATAAAATAAAATATATTAAATAAATTCCTAAACAGAAGAAGAATCTAAAAACAGTATTGGAAAATGTGTTATCAAATATTCCCTTTTCACCGCACTGGCTAATTAACGGCGACGTAGATTACTATTTTTTAACCTAACATTCCTGTTCCCACTAGAAAGTAATCCTCTTCCGATATGCACGACTAACTACGCTCTGCGAGTTATTTGTTCATCTTGTAAATCCTTTTTGCACGGTGAAAGCATTTTTATTTAGCACAACTCTGGTAAATATCTGACCAAGCGTATCTGTGCTGAATATTTACATTAATGTTTTGATATAATGCTTAGCGACTACATTTAAATATGCTGAAAAGTGTTCAGATTTCGGTCAAGAAATATAAATTTAAGCAACTGAAGCTGAAGTGCATTAATTCAATCCCAATAAAATCGTAAAGTTACGTAACGAGCTCTGGCTACAGCTGGCTAATTAAGAGATCCATGTCCGGAGGTGAAAAAACCTCACCCACATATTGAAAAAGTGCCGCATTGGCCCTAACGCGAATTGACAAATTTCAACCAATTAGCCATTGAGGCGAAAAGCAGAACAAAGAAAATCTCAACCGCAATAGCCCAGAAATGGTCGGACTTAATTGCCTGGCGCTCTGATGACCAGCGTTCCGACCTTCTCCTTCCAAAGAGGGAGAGGGAATAAGACGGATGCCCAACACCTTGCAATGTGGAGCGGGGGTTGGTGTTGGCATTAGGGTTCGGGTTTAGGGCGAAACGAAACGGAACGGAACGAAATGCCCTAAAGAAAGTGGGGTAAGGCAGCTGAGCTGAGGCATTATCAGGCCACTGAAAATCAAGTCACGTGCACTCTGCCTGAGGTGTGGAATTGGTTGGGCAGGGTTTGCCGAATTGTCCTGACGGAAGTTTCAAGTCGATGCGTTGGGAAGAGATTGGCAATGGCTGGCCTGAGTTGGGCGGGAATATGCTGTATTTTTACTCACATGTGCTACGAACTTAAATTTTCTTTTGCATCGATGGCAAGGAAAGTGTGTAACTTTTCTTTTTGCAACTCTCTTGAATTTTGTAGTTCAAGCTGGGAGTTAATATCACGTTTTTAGTTTAATTACGTGATGGATTTGCTGAGGGCAGCTTAAAGTTGCCAAATGTGGTTTGGACTGGCTTCAACTACAAACTAAATTATACATCAGAGTCGGATTATAAATAATTGTGGAATGAAAAATAATAGGTCATCCATTTGTGAAGAAGGAAATTGGAACTAAATCAAGTCTGGCTAAAGTTCTGAGTATTGTTTAATTAAAGTCAAAATGATTTTAAGCATCATCCTTCAAAATATCGCAAAGTAAAATCAATGTTTTAATTATTTTCTAATGAGATTCGCACAATGAGCGTTCAATATTTAATTTAATAAGTACTATCGTGACCAATAGCCGTTTGACAATCAAAATGATTATGCATATTTAAAATAGTGGAAAGTGCAGAATCCTTTTTAGGCAAATGAGCAGAAAAATGGTAGGGGTGGCATAATTAAAACGTGTTTTCATTGAAAATATCTATGATGTTGTCGGGGAAGCTGCGAGCTTTAATATTAATGGGCAAATGCAATTTGCTGATGATGGGCAACAGGAGGACAGGAAAGGGGCGGAGCTGAGAACTGTGCATATTGTCACATAATGAAAACCCAAAATAATTAGCATTTTGTTATATCTACTCGGGCGTATGAAATAAATGGCGTGAGAGATGCCAAAGAGACAGTCAAAACAAAAACAGGCAGCACGAGTTTTAAATAAATCGCATAGCAAATCAAATGGAATGAAACTGGCTAAAAATGGCAAATTTGATAAATTTACATGCCAACTTGGAGGAAAGCAGCACGAATAAAAATAAATGTATGCAAATGAATCATAAACAATAAACGCAAAAGCAAAAACAATAAGACAAACTCGGCACCTACTGCTATTTTGACAGAGTAACCAGAGCATATGGCTGTTGTATCAACAAATTGAATACAGTATAATATCGGGGAATATTTACATTACTTGAACACAATAAATAAGAGGCTTTATTTGACCAGATCACAAATTCTCTTCAACAGTCTCTTATCCCCCAACAACTGCCTCTTCGGGTCTCTACACAAGCGAGTCGCATTGGAACGAGAACGGCAATAATATTCTCGGCTATGGCAACTCGGACTCGACGCGTTCGATTTACGGCCAGGATAAAAGTGAGTAGTTGGGCAGCTGATCGTCAGCTGATCATCAGAACAATTCGAGATACTCGCTGGCATCTTGTTCATTTTACCACAACATATTTTCTTTTTGTTCTCTCTCTTTCGTTCCCTCTGTTTATATTCCCTTCTTACTCACTCTCACTCTCTCTCTCTCTCTCTCTCTCTCTTTCTGTGTTTTTGTCTCTTGTGCTCTCATCATCATAAACAAACCAAACAAACAAAAAGATACGCGCTATCAATCGAACTTGAATGAAATCGGTTTATCAGAACAAAAATCCTTCCTAGATAAATCGCAGACTGCGATAAGCGGAAATGGCAATTCTCCGGGCGTCGCCGTCGACGGCAGCAGCGACAGCGCCAACTGCGCTGTGGCAATAGCGTGGCTGGCACTGTTACCAACATTAATGTTAATGACGTCACTTGGCGCGGTTGGCTCTGGACCTAGTTAAGTGTGAGTGTGTGTGTGTTAACTGAGAGCTACATATCCGTAAGGCTTGAGGCAAACAACTAGCGCAAAACAATATCTACATACTAATTATAAACAACGAGTACTCATATAGGCCCTAGTTATGACCTAACCAGACCCTAGTTATGATCCGCCCCCAGAAAACAAACGTATGCAACTAAGCCAAACAGAGCTTGCTGCACTGATATTGTGACAACCCTAAGAGTAACCTTAGCAAACATAATAGCTTAGCATTTATCTATATACACATCTATATATATATATACATATATATATACAAATATTTAAACATAATTACGTGTATAGTTAAAATTTATTAACTTTCATAAGAGCAAACAATTGCAATTTAATTTTGCATTAACGCTTTTGGGCTTAAAGAAGAAGCAGATTAAAAATGGATAATTAAACCTTTTAATGCACTCAAGTTGAGTAATGCTTAAATAATTATATGATGACATATATATACACACACACATATATATATATATATATATTTCTGCGTTAAACGCTAATGGCATTTGTTTACCCATATACGCACACAAACACACATACATGCAGACTTAAATGGACAAACGCCTTGAGGTATGCAAAATTAAATTGCGAAAATAGTAAAAGCAAACAACAACAACAACACATATCGAGTATAAAAATCATTTAAATTAAATAGCATATAGATACGTATATAAATACACATGTGAATATGCAACTGTGTGTGTTTATTATTAATTTGTAGAGTCCTCTGTGTTAAAAGTATTCGTCGGTATTATTAATAGCTCTCTAAGACGGTATATGGTCAAGCGCTTTATAGCTAATGCTGCTCTCAAATTGTAAGTACTTAACTGAGTTGACGAGTTGTTAATGTGCTTCAAGCCTAAGATTTTCAATAGAAAGTAGTACACATAATCATAGCTGCCACACTTGACTTAGTTCTAAATATACATATTTCCAGACTTTGAACAAATAAATCCAATCAGAAGCACAATATTTTGTATTGCCAGCAGTTTTCCAGTTTTTCTCATTTATCTGTTGAAATATTTAAGCATAAACTTAAGTAAATTGTAACTAAAGCTTATACATTATTGTAAAAAATACTTCATGCAAATGTTAAACATTTAAGAGTTGTGTTGCTTTCAATGCAAAACAAGAAGTGTTAATTATACATATAAATACATATATATATATATATATACATATACATGAATGAGTTACGAGTAAATGCAAAGCTAACGGCACACAAGAATACGCATATAAAAATACATATATGCATATCCATATATATATATATATACATATATATATGTACGAGTTTATACATAAGCCCATATAGACATACATATATATACAATATAACTATGTAACTTGTATTTAAGAATACGAAATGAGCTGTAATTGCAATGGCAATGGCGTTGATATAAGCCCAAATCCAAATGAGCAAATTAAAATAAAAATCAACAACAACAACAAACAAATAATAAGTGTATATGTGTGAAATGCTTGATTATCAACCAAATTAAACAACACCAAGAACTCAAACAGCCACCACAACAACAACAATCAGCACATATTTGCAATACGTAATGAAACAAATACGAAGGTTCTGGTCTGTTCTACTATTGGACCAAAGAATACCCTGTTTCTATGCAGATCTGAGAAATACTAAAAAATGTTGCTCCTTTCTAAGGTAAGTGCATTTAAATAATAAATATTTATTGTCGGTAGATCAAGCACTACTCATTGTCCTGCTTTTGCTTTTGAAAAGATAATTAAGATTGGATAAAGTTGAAGGATTCCACGTTGAATATATATTCTTGAAGCTGATAAAAATCTTTTTTGCTTACCAAGATTACCAGTCCAAGATTAGTCAATATAAATGTTGCCTCTCGCAATCGTGCGGGTTTTGAAATGTGTAAGAAAATTAGGAAGTAATCAGTCTGATACTGCTAGGCAAATATATTTTGCACACACGCTTCTCACTATATGCATACCCTTCTGTTTCGCATTTACAGGGTATACGAAATACATCACATTAATAAACAATTAGTTGTTTCGCAAAGTGTGAGGTAACTTCGAACCTATTGAACCGCAATTATTTTTTATGCAATTTAATTTATTCATTTTTTATCACGCAATTTTTTCAAGAGAATGCAAACATTAAAAAAAATGTGTAATAATAATAATAATAAATTTGTCATATTCAATTTAATTATCGTGCACGTAGTTTGACAGAAATTCGAATTTTTCATTGCAGTTTTTCAATATTTATTAATAAATTTAAGTGCAAATCTTTTGATATTGCTAATGGGAAAAGTGGATTCGGTTTGTAGCGGATAAATGGGAAATATGTAGGAACTGAGAGATATGTCAATTAAAGTGAAAATCGATGGACTTGGCAGTGAAAAGTGCCTTTTAATGGTCAAATTACATAAAAAACTTTCGATGTTCTGAATTTATGTAATTCCAGTTTTGCTGGACACACAAAATCATCATGTGATCTTTACATACACTCAGAAAATATCAACCCGATTTTTTTTTTAAATCGCCAATGGATACTCACCTTATTATTCAGAGAGTATATCGAAGACGGAGGTATTTTTACAATTTAAAGAAAGGAAAAGTTTCTAAGTTTCAGTGTGATTTTTTTAATGTTTTTTTTTAAAGTAAAGTTAAATCATTTGTGGAATTGTGTTAGCAGCAGCCGCTGACAAGTGCAACAAGGCCATTAATGCGCTTCAGCATAGACTTTCATGTTTAATTATTGTTTCTTTAAATATCATTATATTATTTAATTTCAATCAACATGCTTTTATTAATTACACTGAACATTTGTAAAAATTTATTAAATATCGTTAGACAATGTAAAATTTTAACTAAAATTTTCATGCAAACAAATTTTTTAACGTTTGCCATGGCTCCCATTCCACTAATGTTTTCTCTTAATAATTTACTTACTAAGAAGAGTCCTTCAAATTATTTAATATAATTAAATTGTAGGAAAACAAAACATAGTTATGAGAATGTTGCCATGAAATTATGTCAACAGTAACTCTATTCTGTCTACAGTCATCTCAGGCGTCACAGCAATTTAATAACATGCAAGTCGTAATTTTCTTTTCGAATTTTCTTATCTGCCAATTAAAATATTACATTTGATTTTAAAAAGTAACGATTCAATTAAGCTTTCAGTTTTTTTTATTTTTGCATACTTATTAAGAGGTCTGGCCAAGAAGCCAAACAAGCCGGAAATTGAATTGCAAGGCGTGCAAGAGTAAATGTTCAAATTCGGATGTTTGTGTTTGCCTCCTTCGATTCCGTTCTGATGATGATGGGAGTGCAGGGACCACAGAAAGCGCAGCAAGATAAATAAGGAAAAGAAAGCGAAGAACGAAATCAGCTTGAAATCGCGACACAAGATGTCAATTTCATTACGAGAGAGGACGTTGGCCATGACAGTGTGCAGAACTCATCTGCATAAGGGGGAAATTACTTTTGCTACCAACTGCCAACAACTACAGCAACAACTAAATGGCAAAAGCAATCGCAGCTGCTTGGACAAAGTTTTGTACGCCAAAAAATACGGGAAAAAAATTACAAAACGGCAAAAATAAATCCAGGCAAAAAGTAAAATGCTGAAATGAACTATTCACGACAATTTCCGCAGTGCAAGAAAAAAGCAACCAACTGAAATTTATGTAAAGCAACAACAAATACAAAGTCAACAAACAAATACAAATGAAGCCAAGTACGGAAAAAATAAATTACCCCCAAAAGGAAATAACAAGAAGAACAAGTCAAAAATAAAGAAACATTTGCAATTGGGTACTTGGAAAAAATGCAATTATACTTATGAAAAATGCATTTTACAACAACTATTTTCTATTAACCGAAAAAATACCCCGTGACCTCCTTAAAATATGCTACGAAATAGCTGCATACTTTTGAACCAACCAACCAGTTATTTGTGCCTTCCTCACAAGCCTAAAACAGTCACGAGAAAGAGGAGGACGAGGCAGAATTTTGATAAAGGACCTGTATGTGTATGTGGCAAAGTTTGTGCGGAACATGTTTGCCATACTTTTTATCTGCACCCAATTCCTTATGCGAGCAGTTTATTAAAGGATGCGAACAACAGCCAAGGAGTCCTGCATGGTAGTGCGTGTATGTGTGGGTGTGTGTGTGTGGGTCTAGAAAGTTGTAAGTGCATTTCGCATAAATGGAAAATTGTTCAATTTATCGACGCACAAAGGAACACACGATCTGGGAACGAGGCCAAGAAATAACTTGTAAAACTTTATGCAATTGAATAGATAAATGTTTATGTTGGTCAACTCGGGTAACTATTGTAACTAAGCCTCAGAATTATGAATATCATGACCATATCTCTAACCGCCCTCTACAAAGTACTCGCCTCAAGTAATTGCCACAAATGAGGCGCATCAAATTTGATTTGATTTGAGCTTTTAAACCACAACAACAATTGAAGAACAACATTTAAAGTGCTGTAAGCAGCCATAAGCAGGATAAAGAGCTGTGTAAGGAGGATGATAAAAATATCAACAAGCCAGCAATAAAACATTCAACATTCAAGGAGTGCACCGAACAGAGCAGCCAAGTGAACATTGGACCATTGTCGAAATGACATCAATAAAATATTTAAGGCGACAACAAAGAGAAGCTTCCACCAGCACCACATTCACATCGAGGAATGGCCTTCAAGCTTCAACTACCTCATCCACATGCCCCTGCCTCTGCCCCAACACCTACCCCCGCCCCTGCCACGCCCCACAGTTGGCAAAACAAACTCAAGGAGGGCGCTGAATGGATAACTCCACTCGACTAGCGCCGTGGCAAACGAGCTTAACAGGATAAACCGATGAGAACTGACGAAGGCAATGTGCAATGTGAAGCAACTTGAGATTGGGGAGGAGGACGAGTTTGAGTTTAAAATGGAAGACGAGGATGAGGATGGAGATGAAGTCGAGCAACTCACTTGGAACCAGCTTCAGGTTTTCACTCGTCTCGGTTTCAACTCGACTTTGAAGTGCAATAGCGGAATTTGAATTCAATCGCAATTGCAATCGCTTCCCTTTCAGCAACAGTCCTCCAACCAATCCCCCAACTTCATCCCCTGCCTTGAAAGCAACTCCATAACTGGCTTTTTATTGTGGCTCCCCCTTCTGTTCCATTCACTGTGTGTTATTTGTGGCTGCCTCGTGGCAAGCGGCTTAGACTTGTTAGCAACGTC